ATTGTCACAGTCTTTGGTTAAACACAAAGACAAGCCTTTGTAGCCATGAAACTCCTTCCCTCCCTCCAGATTTCTAGTGGGCAAAGCCACTGGGAGACTGAAGGTATCTGCAGTACTTCCACAGCACCTCGTAGCTCTGCTTTCTCATGTGTCCTCACTGCCTCAGGGGAGCGATAACCCCCGTTTTCAGCGCCATCAATGCTCCAGGCAGACTCTGGTATCTTCTCCCGGCCTCTCTTCACACAAAAGTAAACGTTCGCTCCTGGGGAATTATCGTGGACCCCTGGGAGCACCCCAGGCCACCTCCTTCCCCTTACTTCCCATCATCCTTGCATTACTGGCACTGGATTGATTGCTCGGAGAGAGCTTCATCAGAGCGATAAGGCTGCTGAAGAGCAGTCTAGCTTCCCCATGGATTTTTACCTCTTCCTGTCATACAGCTAAGAGCTGAGATTCCTGAGCAAGTTGGAAGATAAATGCCTTCTGCATATGAGGGCAGCCTGCTGTGTGGTAATTAACAACTGGCAAACATGAGAACATGTCTTTGTTCTGTGTTTGAACATGTTCACTGGAAAGCGCTGGGCACGTCTGCATCACCACACTAAGATCTGGCACATGATTGCCTGTGTACATACTGATACCTGCACACTGGCTCAGTCACCGCCATGCAGCAGCAGCTAACAAGACAAATGGCAAACAGCACTAATCCACCTCCATCAAAACCAGCACTCCAAACAGAATAAGGAATGATCAGGGTACAGAAGTTCATCTGGTTTTCTTTAAAGATGGCGTATTTCTGCAAAAGAGGAACTGGCTGTAAACACTGCCCTGTCAGGAATTCACCTCACGTCCACAGTCTCAGGAGCTGTTCAGTTTGGAAACAGATGCTCTAAGCCGGTGGAAAGCGAATGTTTCTTCCCTTCCCATCCGCAGGGTGCTTCTTGGTTACATCAGGTTGTGGAGGATCAGAACTGACAAATGACAGCAACAGTTGGATTTATGGAAGGCCAGCTTCATCCCATCAGTTTTAACATTCTTTCTCATTAAGGCTCCAAGCATTAATTTGAGCTGCTAAGGTAGGTAAATTTGACAGGACAAATTAATGAGGAAAGACATACAGCCTGAAGAGCTCCCAACAATGCAGAGTGAACACTAGAGATTTAGGCTAGGGCAGGACTCAGGGGAAAACGTTCATTTCACACAGAGAAGGCTGGTCTGTGGGGAGAAGAGGTCTACAGGCTTTCCCAGATGCCTGGAGAGAGCCACAGTTCAGTGGGAGATACTGATTTCCTACAACACTGCCCTATTTCCAAAGAAAGTTCACTCAGCCAAGGACTGTCCGTTTTTATATTGGTTGAGGGAGCCTAACAGAACAGGACCACAACTGGCCAGGAGTAACAGACACCATCTCCTGCTCACCGTCAGAAAGCCATCGCACCACTGTGGTGCTTCTCCCCTAAGCTGCACATGCGAGGAGAGGACTAGGGGAGGTTTGCAGGGGATAGCCCCATTTCCCTGCCATTCTGCCAAGCTCTGGTTCTAGTCAAGACCACAGTGACTGTGAAATGGTACAGGAAAGAGAGTTGTGACCGTACACGCCAATTTCCTCCTTGTCTAGTACCTGCTTTCAGCAATCCTGCAACCCTGCAGGTACAAACAAGGGACATCCAGCGAGAACTAACACACTATCTGGCTTCCTACAGTCAAGACCTCCAAATCCTCACCATGGAGTAAGAGTTTAGCTGTGACAAAAAAGTTGTGCTGGCTCTTTCAGAAGTACAAAAGGAGAGTATGTGTCAACAAATGCTGCTAACACATTGGAATAAGCTTTCTTAACAACTAGAAATAACAATCAAGATCAAGGCCTCTCCCACTGTGCTCAGGCTTCTGTGAACAGCAGCAAAGGATAATCCACATCTCACAGGAAGGAATCCCATCCCCACTGAAGCTTGTGGGAGACCTGTTGTTTTGTGGGGATGTTAGATGTCACCTGAAAAGTTAAATCCCTCCAGCTGTCTTCTAAACCCTTGACTAGGAGGGATGTTCCTAAAAACCTAACACAAGGAGCCATCTCACAGGAGAAAAGCACATGAAGACCAAGCTTCGCCTGCTGGATGAAAGAAGTGGTCAGAGTTTATTGTTCTGTTCCTGTTAAACAAGAAGCAAAAAAACCACCCTCTTAGCTGGTTTTCAAGTTTTCCAGTGAGCCCTCAAAGTCCACCCTTACTCTGTCAGGAGCTGTACTTAAGTTAAAAAAGCCAACCAAACAAAAAACCCCACACCAAGAATAAAGGTTGAACTGAACATTCAGGACTGTCCATGCCACATTTTCAGTGGCTGAACACAATGGTACAGAATGCAAGTTGAAATCAAGCTAGTTTTAAACAGCAGCAATCACTATACTTTGCACCCCCAGCCCCCGCATCTGATTCTGATCTACAGTTTTCGCTTTTGCCTCCAAGGAAAGAAAAAACCAACGAGCATAAAAGTTCAAAAATTCTTTCCCCTGGCACTGACTCAATGGCTACTCTAGCTTTTCCTTAGCGTATTTCAAAACCAAATGAGCTGCAAATCCTGCACCAGCATGCAGGAGATTATTAAAAATGAACACAGGCACTATGGACTGAGCCCACACAGAAACTTCCAGGCACAAAGTGGGTGCTGCTTTGACACAAACCACCTCAGCTGCCCTACGTTTCCACACACTGTTGCCTGCTCGAGGAGGCTGACTGTTGCACAGTGCTGCTTTTCTCTCCATACCTGCACAGCACCTTCCACACCCACGCTGTGCGTGACCGCAGTGGGAGGAGCGCAGACCCTGCTGCATGCTCTTTTTACAGGGTCTCTTATGCCTCTGAAACATGTCCTTCTTGCAGGACCTGCAGAAGTTGGAGCGAAAGACAATTCTGTCATATGCCATCTTCATTCCCTGTTGTTTAATAACCCAGGTGTAGAGACATGGAATTTTACCACATAACTGATGTTTATGAACAGCCACGGAAGCAAACGCACAAAGTATGATGACAGCTAAGGCACAGGCTGGACAGCCCAGGTTTTTAAAGCTCATACAGGGCTGAACACCCATTGCCTGAGCATCCAGAATTTGTGGGATGTCTGTGGTACCCAAGGAAAGCCCTGCGATGCTCATGCCCAATTGGAAACATTTTCAGAGGTGCCCTAGAGTATGTTAAACTGCATTTTACATATGACAGCAAAACTCAAGCCTGCTGGCTAGAGAAAACCGCGGGGGGGGGGGGGGGGGTGGTGCCTACAGAATCAGGAACTGGAGGCCTGGAGATTAAACAGAAAGAGCAAGAAAAAAGGGAATTCCAATTAGCAAGAAATAGCAGAGGAGAATCATGAAGACAGAAGCTTTCTAACCACCAAAACTGATTCAACAATGGAAAAGCAAAACCACTAAATCCAAACAGCACAAGAGGGCTCCTATCAGTACAGTGAGAAGAGCGGGGAATCTAATAGTGACCCAGATGAACCCATCCCTCCAGAATACCTCTGTCTCCAGAGAGGTCACAGTGTCCTGCAAAATCCTAGGACCAGGTAGAGAGGCTAAAAGCATCCTAAGCTCTAATCCGCAGCCTTCAGTGCTTAAGAAAGCATAGGCCCATCCCAGTCAGGCGCTGAGCGGCAGCCCGGGCAGTGGAGAGAAGGGGAGACGCTGGCGCCTGAACACTGCTGGTACGCTCTTGTGTTAGCCTTCAAGGATGGGAACACCACCTGGTCTCAGGCATGGGGACAGCCACTTTCGCTCCCTGAGGAAGCGCTTAAGGAACCTTACAAATCATGTGGCTATCAGAAAACGCAAGGTTCATCTGACACCCCTGCACACACCAAGTCCCCAGACTACAGCTTGTTGGGGCTGCTCACTGCGCACAAGGTTGCATCCTGGCTCTCTCCACATCTGGGAAGAGGACTCCCCTTTCTTCCACACCACCAGCTACCACCAGGGCAAGTCCAACACAGCTGCTATTTTGGCCTGTGGGTGCTTTCATCCACTTGAGCAGGGAAAGATTTTTTTTACGGGCAGGCTCTAGTGAGCCTCCTCACCCCAGTCCAACAAATCCCCCCGCAATCTCAAGGCGTTATCAATCCTCTGGCAGTAAACATTTATATTCCTTTTACAGAGAGGCAGAGACACATGTAAAACCTGTCAACCTCAGGAGCTCCTGTTTTGCTGTCACAGTCTCAGAGGTGAACAGGTTTTGGAGGTGAACAGAAAGCCTGACCCAAAGTCCCCAAGGTGGCTCTCCATGACCACCATTGCATGCAGGGTCAGGCCTGCAAGAACCAGAGAATCTGCAAGGAAGAGCTCTGCAGCAAGCCGACCAAAGCCACCTTGATGTAGGCTGACCAAATCCCATCTAGCTCCCTAAAAAGACAGCTTCCCCTACTCAGCTCAACATGGAAACCTGTTTCCTGGCTAAAGATCTCTATTGTTACCAAAGAGCACAGCACAGGAGCTCTCTACCCCTTTTTAACCGTTTGCTGATGGCAACCTGGGAAGTGTGCCACACAAGGGCTCCCCAGATCTGCTGACCCAGCCTGGGGCAGACACGCCGGTGCATCAGCTCCACTCGGTGCGTCTGCAGCTCGGCAATTGCTCGGGCAAACGACAGGGGAGCCCCCGAACTTGCACTAAAGCGGCTGCCGCTTCCATCACTCGCGGTCCTGCGGGGGTTTTGCACCGCAGGCAGCAGCGATGCCACGGGGGACTAAGAGGGAAAAGCCGCGGCGGTTTGAAAGGCGCATCCCTGCAGCGGAGCAGGGGACCAGGGCAGGAGGGCAGGGGCTGCCCCGAGGGCAGGGATCCGGACCGGAGGGATGGAGGTGGCGAACAAACCCGCAGAGGGGCTTTAAACCCTCGATACCTGGTCTCTTGCCGATCGCCCCCCGCAGCCCAGGCGCTTTGAGGATCCCCGGGAACAAAAGCCACAACCCCCAGTCCCACCGGTGACCCCCGCCGCCCCCCCGGGCAGCCTCACCTCGGAGTAGACATAGAGGGGCAGGACGAGGAGGGCGAGCAGCAGGTCGGCGACGGCCAGGCCGGCG